CACCTGTCAAACACTCTTTAACCCTGTTTTATACGGTCTAAAAATGTCCACCATACGTACTTCCTGTAAGAGTTTTGTTGGTAAAATTCTGCATCTTTCTTTATAATCAATAGCACATCTGAGAAAATCTATAGTTTGAAAATACTTGTGATAATCTAACTGTTTCACTTGTGGATGGTTGTAAAACTGCAGGATGAGTCAAAGCCACATTATACTATATGTATCCGAATGATGGAACCTGAGGCCACCTCCTGTTTTTTTTTGTTTTTTGTTTTTTTATCAAGGTGTTTTTATTAATTTTTTTTAACACAAACACAACAAAGAACAGTCCCCTCCCCCCTCCTCACCCACACCAGATTCATTCAACCTTTATTTATACAGGTTAGTCTCAATGAGCCACACATACATAAATGTCTTTATACAGGTATTGACATGTTTTCAGCATAAAACACAAAAGGCTGCCAGGTGTCCCAGAATATTTTTATAGAACCTTTCAGGGTATATCAGATTTTTCCTGATGAATATGGTACATCACTTATCTTATCCAATGTACATATACTGGGGTGGGTCCTTCCAACAGCACAAAACAAGTCTCCTGGCCAGAAGAAAGCCAAAAGCAATCACATCTTTTTCATACTTTGTACTTGCTGAATAATGTATCCACAGGGACCACACCAAACTGTGAGATGAATGGTGATGGGCGCACAGTTTTTCCACATATCACAGAGAAGGTGTCAAAAATAGATTGCCAAAAGTTCTGCAGTTTGGGGCAGGTCCAGAATGTATGCAAGAGCATAGCTGGAGGTTGTTTACAACGATTACATGCAGGGTCCAGGTCGGCTTTGATCTTGGACAACTTGTCTTTAGACCATTGTGACCTCTGCACCACCTTGAATTGAATTACAGCATGTCTAAGACAGACTGAGGATGAGTAAATGTTCTGAATGATCGTTCGCCAAATTGAGTCTGATATGGATACCTCCAAGTCTGTTTCCCATTTCATTTTAAAAGAGTCCAAACTAGTCTCATGGTATGAACTGACAACTGTATAGATCTTGCTGAGGGCCCCATATGTGTTAGACCTACATTTCAAAATCTTAACCGCAAACTGCTTAGAGGGGTACAAAGGAAAATCAATCAAAGTTAGACCTCACAAAATGCCTCAGCTAAAAATATCTGAAAAACCGTGGCTTATGAATATTAAACTTTTGGAATAGCTGCTCAAAAGGGACAAACTTACCATAAACATAGAGATCATACTCCATTCAAGACCCAGGCATCAAAAGCTGTATCAGTTCCTGAGGGAGTAAACGTGATTATTTGACACTGATGCCACAAACAGTAACTCTTTAGTGTTAAATGCCCTCCTGAACTAATTCCAGATCTCAACTGTCTCAATCACAATTGGATTAGAAGTGTATTGTTCTAAGGGTGGCTGTGGCTGAGTGGTTAGTGCAGTCATCCACTAATGCAAGAGTTGGGGGTTCGAATTGTGTTCATGGGCAAGACACTGAACCCCTCATAGCCTCTGATGTGTGTCCCATCAGTGTATGAATGTGATAAAGCACTGATTAGTCTCTTTAGAATGATTTGTTCAATTAGCTTTGTAGAGATCTAGTGGAGTGTTGTGTGAATGGGTAAATGAGGACACAGATTGTAGTGTAAAGCACTTTGAGTATCTTGATCAGATAGAAAGGTGCTTTATATGTACAGTCCATTAGTATTGCGCCACTTAAGGTGGCTGCATGTTGAAGTAGCTCTCTTATATTCATTCTGCTATATTGCTTTTGAAAACATTAATTACTCTTTTTTTCTGCATGTAAATCACTTTTTTTGGTTTACTATTTCTTCTGGTTTTGGATGCTGTGCAGGTGGAAGGATTTTTACTGAAACCTTTTTACTTTTGGACATTTATGATACATAACCATACAATAAGGTGGCTTTCTACAACTGGGAGCTGCTGATTAACATCTCAAAAGCTCAAATATTACCTCAACTACAGCCCCAAATCCCAAATGAGCTGAAAAGGAGGTGCTATGGATGCATTTACGTCTACCTGGAGATGGTGCTCGAGTGCCTGACCGCCGAGATCTTGGAGGTGGCGGAAAACATGACTCATGACAGCGGGAGGACTGAGATCATCCCTCGGCACCTGTACTTTCATCTGCGGTGATGTGGGGGCTAGGCAGGCTGCTAGGAGGAATGGCCATCGCTCAGGGAGGAGTTCTGTCTGGCATTTGGGTGGTCCTGCTGCCCAAGAGGACGGGAGGTTTGCTGGGTTTGGGTGGGCAGATTGGCATCAACAACCAGTTTCTTCGGAACTGCTGTGGGACAGACTACTACAAGGGATACTTCTTGCCCACAGCCAGTCATCAGCATCTATATAAATGCCTAATGAAACCAGGATGAGATACAACAACAATTAATTTCCCTTTGGAATTGATAAAGTATTTTTGAATTGATTTGAAATGAATTGCTACACAGCTCAAGAAAGAAAAGCTTTGCAGAGAGTGGTGAAGGCTGCACAGAAGTCTGTTGGAGTCAGTCTCCCCACCATCACAGACATCTACACCTCCAGATGCAGGAAGAGAGCCACCTGCATCATGAAGGACCCCACTCACCCAGCACACACACCTTTTGCCCTGCTCCCCCTCAGGCTGGAGGTTGAAGAGTATTAAGTGTAGAACCACTAGACTGAGGAACATCTTCTGCCCTGAGGCTGTTAGACTCATGAATCTCTAACCAGGATAATCACTGCTGCTGATTTGTTTAGAATTGGGTTTCTTTTCAGAAGTAGATCCCGTCTAACTGAATGCTAGGAAATGCACTGTAACTGTGACTTTCCTTCCCTCTATTGACTACGGTGACATTATTTACATGAATGCCCCTAAAAGCATCTTGCAGATGTTGGACGCTGTCTATCACAGTGCACTAAGATTCATAACTGGCTGTAACTACCGTAACCATCAGTGAACCCTGTATTCACTGGTTAGCTGGTCATCATTAATGTAAGGGTCCCACTGCCTGCGGCCTGCCTTGCTGATGGCCGCTGATTACCAACACCTGGCGGCCATCAGCCTGATGAGCCTCTCCATCTACATAAGGCTGCAGTCCGGTGTGACTCATCGCTGGAGCATATCACCTCTCATGGTATAGTACAGGTGAGCTAGAAATGTCTAGGTGAAAATAATTTGTTCACCTGTGTTCTTTTTTCCAGTTTCCTGGTTCCTCGTGTTTTTTGGATTCTCCTCGAGGCCTGACCTGGATCCCTCGGCCTGTCAGGTATTCCTCGTGCCTATTTGCCTCCAGTTGCCAGCCTTCCTCGTTTCCCTTGGACCCTCGTTGGATTTCCCTCTGCTGCTCTCTCCCTGGACAGAAGGACCAGCTCTCCTCTTTTGGGTTTGGACTGTAAGGACAAAAACGCTCTTCAAATAAACCACTCTGGTCTTCCCCCCTGGACAAACATTAACCTGTCGTCCCTCTTTCCAGGAGCCGCTGAGAAGCAGCGTGTGGACTTTAATTATCACTGTACATAATAAACACTGTTCTTTTTGTACTTCCCCTGTGTCTGCCTCGTTCTGGGTCTCGTATCATCTGGGTTCCCCGCGCACTCTTAACAATTAACTTCATGTTGGCATGTTTTTGCCCCTCACAACCAGTCATGTTTATGTTGTTCCTGCCAAGATCTGCCTGTTCCTATCTCTCACTCTCTCCCAGCAATCAAGCTCATGCTCTACACCTGTTCACCTCCCTACTTAAGCTCCCTCCAGTCACTCGGTCAGTGCCAGATTCTCGAACCTGCAAAGTAGTAGAAATCCAGCATACCCAGTCTTGACTCCTGCCTCGTTTCTGAACCATTGCCCGGTTTTGACTCCTAACCTTTCCTGCCCCTCTTGGATTGATCTGCTTTATGGTAACTACTCTGTGTCCTCTCTTGACCACGATTTTGGGTCATGTTTTTGGCTCTGTTCTGCTCTCTGCCTCACTGTGTACAAACCCCTGCTTCCCCTCTTGGACTTTGGAACCAGATCTCCCCTTTTTGGACCTACACAGTCTCTTCTGCTCCGCTGCTGCTGTTACTCTGCATGAGTGATGTCTTCGGCACCAGCGTGACAACAGTACCTGTTACTCCATCAAGACAGAAGACCTGACCCAGGCCCGGACCCTGTACTACACCAGAACCTGTTTATCTCTTAATAAACATTTTAAACCATTCCTGATGTTGGGTGTTGATGTGCTGATCCAAAACTGGTTCTTGTCACACATAGACTCTCTTGCTGGGAAATTTACATCTTTAAATCACTTCTTGGTCTGTTGTCTTTTTACATCTCCTCCTACATAAAAAAAAGTTAAATCTTAGATCCAGAACAGTGGCCCCACATTGAAAGACTGTTTGGAACGCACAGACTGGCAGATCTTCAGAGAAGAAAATGTTTAACTTTTAACAAAAAAAAACAACAAAACACTAAATTAACAAAGGACTCCTGTCACTCAACTATATGTTCATGTATAACGTCTGTTTATGTTGCTTTGCTGTGGTAGTTTTTTTTTATGCCTCAAATCGTGCCCTGTCTAGGACACGGGGTGAGAGATCTTTTTTTTATGCCGTCTCTCATGTTTTCTTTTTCTAACCACTGTTTTTGTTTGTCCAAACAGGTCTCACTTAAATGAGTATTCGAGGCTCAATGTAATTTATCTGTTTAAAGGTTGAATGAAAGCTGATGAGAAATATAGAGCATGTGATTCACTGGTGTAAACCTCACCAATCTCCTGCCAGTTTAAGCAAATGGCCACCTTCCTTAGTCCAGCAGGAAGTAGACAGTTTGCCTCAGACTGCTGCTGTGAGAAGATTAAAAGGACAAAGCTTTGTCACAACTGGAGACACTTTCTTTCTCACTGCAACAGAACAACATGGCTGTTAGTTTCCTCCGTTGAGTTTCAAACTCTAATCTGTGTTTCTATTTTCAGTGGTTCAACCTTGAATTTCAGCTAAAAGGATCACAATGAATCTCACAAATGTCTCATATATTGTACTTTATGCTTATTATGACACTGGAGTCCTAAAATATTTATTTTTCTCGGTGGTCCTGTTTCTGTATGGACTTATTATTTGTTTTAATCTTGTTCTGATCGTGGTTATCTGTGTGCACAGGAGTCTACATGAACCTATGTACATGTTTCTGTGCAGCCTGTTTGTAAATGAGCTGTATGGAAGTTCAGGCTTGTTTCCATTCCTGCTGGTTCAGATTCTCTCAGACGTTCACACCATTTCTCTTCCACTTTGTTTCCTGCAGGTCTTCTGTCTTTATTCATATGGAAGTGTGGAATTTTTCACTCTTGCAGTCATGTCTTATGACAGATATGTTGCCATTTGCTTTCCTTTGCAGTACAACACCCTGATGACATCTAATAAGACTGTTAGGCTTATTGTTGTCATGTGGTGTTATCCTTTTCTTACTGTTATGATTTTGGTATCAGTGACTGCAAGTTTGCAGCTGTGTGGGAACATTATTAATAAGATTTATTGTGATAACCCTTCTATCATTAAGCTGGCCTGTTTTAACATCACATTTAATAATGTTTATGGAATTGTAAATGCATTCTTCTTGATTATTTTCCCTGCTGTGTTGATATTTTGCACGTACATGAGCATCATCAGAGTGTGTTTTTTTGGATCCAAACATACCCGACAGAAAGCTGTCAGTACCTGCACTCCTCATTTAATTTCTCTGTTCAACTTCTTTTTTGGTTGTTTCTTGGATCTTTTAATAAGCAAGTTAAATATGAACGGTGTTCCCAACGTATTTCAGGTCATAGGACACTCCGCATTGGCTTATCTAATCACCTGTCAAACACTCTTAAACCCTGTTATTTATGGTCTAAAAATGTCCACCATACGTACTTCCTGTAAGAGTCTTGTTGGTAAAATTCTGCATCTTTTTTTATAATCAATAGAAAGACTGAGAAGATCTATAGTTTGAAAATATGTGTGATAATCTAAAAACTAATCTTTGGTGGATCAATAGAATGAACTGTTTCAGGTGTGGATGTTTGTAAAACTGCAGGATGAGTCACAGCCACATTATAGGTGTCCGAATGATGGAACCTGAGGCCACCTCCTGGTTTAATGTTGGTTTTTCATGTTTAACACAGATGGCTTCTTTCACTCTTTAAAACCACTTGTCTAAGATCTGTATGCTACTGTCCTCAGAGGTGTAGATGAAGTCCTGAGTGTTGATCTTAGGAACTGCTCTTCTGTGTTCTTCCATTTGTTGCTGTTTTATTTCTCCAAGACAGAGGTCTGAACGTTCCTTGCTGCACTGGACTGTAGACACTACGCTCATGGGCTGTTTCCTTGTTTTATCCTGACAGAGTGGGATGGAGGAGGATGTCTCTCTACCGACCCCTAAAATGCACAAAGCTGAAAGAAGAAGATCCTCGGGGCAAACCAGTCTTGTCTGAAAGAGTTCTTGGATTTGAAACGCACCAGAATATTGTGCTTATTTTATTGTCTTTCCCTTTCGGCCTTGTGAGGGCATGTTCATCTCAGTGCTGTAGAGTTCTGAAAGCAGTTTGTGTTTTAGTTGGTGGTGAGAATGAAAAAATATAAATTGTTCTGCAAAATTTGGTTTCCTGTAGATTTCAGTGCTTAGGCTCTCTGTAATTGTGAATCAAACAGTCCAAGAAAGATCCTCTTCCAAAACAATCACTTTTTGGCTTCTTTAAACATTCAGACTTAAGCATCCATAAGGTTTCTTTCCTCTTCTTCTTATTTTGGATTTTCCCTCTTCAGGGGTCGCCACAGCGAGTCATCCTCATCTCACTCTGTCATCTGCATCATCTGTCTCACTCCAACTACCTCCATGTCCTCTGTAACTGCATCCATATATCTCCTCTTTATTTTTTTCCTGGCAGCTGCATTTCTAATATCCTTCTACCAATATACCCACTGTCCCTCTTCTGGACATGTCCAAAAAACTGTCCCACTTCTGGACATGTCCAAACCACTGTCCCACTTCTGGACATGTCCAAACCACTGTCCCTCTTCTGGACATGTCCAAACCATCTCAGTCTGGTCTCTCTAACTTTATCTCCCAGTTGTTCAACCTGTGCTGTACCTCTGATGATCTCATTCCTAATCTTCTCCATCCTTGTCACTCCTAAGGAGAACCTCAACATCTTCATTTCTGTCACTTCCATTCTGTCTCTTGTCTTGTAAACTTTTCCTTTGACCTTTGCTGACACACTTTTGTCACAAATCATTCCTGAAACTTTTCTCCATCCACTCCATCCTGCCTGGACTCTCTTTTTCACATCTTTACCACACTTCCCATTATCCTGGACAGTGGACCCCAAGTCCTTGAAGTCCTGCACCATCCATCCATTCATTATCTTTTACCCGCTTCTTCCATTTTGGGTCACGGGGGTCGCCGGTGCCCATGTCCAGAAATCACTGTGCGAGGGGCGGGATACACCCTGGACGGGTCACAAGTCCATCACAGGGCCACATAGAGACAAACAACCATTCACTCTCTCACTCACACCTAGGAACAATTTAGTGTTACCAATCAGCCTAACATGCATGTTTTTGGTCTGTGGGAGGAAACCGTAGTACCCAGTGAAAACACACGCATGCACGGAAAGAACATGCAAACTCCACCCAGAAAGGCCCCCGGACCGGGATTTGAACCAGGGACCTGCTCGCTGAGAGGCAGCAGGTCTACCAGTTGTGCCACCGTGCTGCCGTCCTGCACCAATAATGCCAAATAGTCAGTTGGGACTCAACTAACATAGGGCAGCATGGTGGCACAACTGGTAGAGCTGCTGCCTCTCAACGAGCAGGTCCTTGGTTCAAACCCCGGTCCAGGGGTCTTTCTGGGTGGAGTTTGCAAGTTCTCTCTGTGCATGTGTGGGTTTTCTCCGGGTGCTCCGGTTTCCTCCCACAATCCAAAAACATGCATGTTAGGCTGATTGGTAACTCTAAATTGTCCCTAGGTGTGAGTGAGAGAGTGAATGGTTGTTTGTCTTGTTTGTCTCTATGTGTCCCTGTGATGGGCTTGTGACCCGTCCAGGGTGTACCCCGCCCCTCGCACAGTGATTGCTGGACATGGGCACCAGCGACCCCCGTGACCCAAAATGGAATAAGCGGGTAAAGATAATGGATGGATGGATGGACTCAATGAACATTTGACAAAGCCAGACCCTTATTTTGAACGACTTTGTTGAAACTTCTTCCTGGTTGCGCTGAAAAATTTTCAGGATCTATGGGGGCAGCCATTATGCAAACAGAAGGAAGAAAAGCATGCTGGGTAATTTAGAAAATCCAAAATATTATGACTTCCTTGCTGGTATGGTAATTCCCATAATTTTGGGTGGAGGATAAGAACAGAGCAGTATTTCAGGCAGAACCGCAGAGTAAAATGTGTCAGAGAATTTTCGGTCAAGGGTTATGACTGTTTTATTGTGTTTTTAAGTTTTGTGGCTGAGGTGGCTGAGAAACAACGGGTCAACTCGCCAACGGCCATGGATCATGTCTGTGTCTGACTGCAGCTGGCTATGAGGGAATGCCTGCTGGACTCTGCTGCTGGATAAAAGTCTGCAGATATCTCTATTCTATGCTCATTTCTGTAACATGATCCATGCATATGCTTTATGTATTTATGTGGAACGGGTTCTTGCAAGTAAAATGTCGGTTAAAAATCTTCTTCTGCTGTTGAGTGTGGTTATTTTGGGAGATTTTCTCCAACTGTAAACCTAAGACAAACAATTTCTGTGTGTAAAAATAAAAGTTGTATCAAATGGTTTTTTTTGGACTCGTGAGCAGCAGAAGGCTCTAATGATACCACAGGTTCCGGTTATTGTGTCAGGTTGGGTTTTGGGTGGTCCCCTCTCCTGGATTATTTTGGGCCCCCCATTTAATGTGGGGCCTACTTCCCCCATCACACTCCCCTCCAGTAGCTAGTAACGCTGTGTTGATGGCTCTTGGCATCTAGGGCTGGGTGCTTGGGTGTGTGCCCACCTGCCCTGGTGGCTGCTTGCCGGGGCCCGGGTGCCCTGGTTCTGTCGGGCCTCTGATGGAGCTTGGTATGACCTCGGAGCTTGGGTCTCGGTGTCCATGGCTGGATCTGCTTCGGTGTAGCGGGTTGCTGGCGGGGCTTGTGGGCTTGTCGCTGCAGCCTCCTGGGGCTTCTGCATTGTGGCTACTGAGGGTCACGTGGGGCTCTCCTCTGCTTCTTTCTGGGGTGGGGGCAGTTGTCCCTGTTGGGGAACTCCCAGGGCTCCGGGCTTGGGGGGCCGCTGCGTGTTTGTGCCTCTGGTCTTTCCTGTGTCGTCATCATGTCCTGTGGGGGCGGGTCTGTGGATCCCCACACCCACTACTGAACATTCTTATGGAGACACCTTATAGTGACAAGCATGCTCATACATGTGTTTAGAACCAGGTGTTTATCAGATACACACTCAGTTGGGTTGTGGTGGCCTCTAAAAACATCTTGTAGTACCATGTACCATGTAAAATACTTTTAAATAATGTTATAAGTATAATTATATGCATGTTGTTTGTTGTTGTGGTTTCTCGGTTTTGTCTTTTTTCGTTCCGCTGGTCTAGAGTCAGACTTGAATGATGTTGATTTGTGTTTTCTCTATACTTCTCTCTTTCCTCTACTCCTATCTCCTTCTTTCCCTTTTAACCCTTCTCCCACTTTTCTGCCTTTCTTTTCTCCTTTGTTTTTTGTCCTTGTATCCATTAGGAAAAAAAAAAAACATCTGTCTTCAGGCAGAAAGACACACTGAGTGGAAGACAGAGAGACTGTGGATGCATAAAACAGGTTATGACTGATTACCAAAGATTTTATATTTGTGGATGAAAAATGTCTACAAATAAGGACAATTTATTTTGACAGATTTTTGACATCATGAGACATGATCATATATATATATATATATATATATATATATATATATAATATGGGAATCCCTCAGGCATGGGTCGTGAATCCATTCCTTGAGCTATTTTTTTTTTTCATTTACCCTTTATTAGTCCAGGTAGTCTCATTGAGCCACGAGAACTCATTTTCAAGAGAGACCTGTTTAGGGAGCAGATGGGGGTTAAGGGCCTTGCTCATGGGCCCAGAGTGGGGAGAATGAGGGTGGGGCAAGTGTGGGTGCTTCACCTACCCCACCCACATTTTTGATGTTGTCGGTACCGGGACGTGAACCGACGATCTTCCTAGCACAGGCCCACCTTCTATAACCTCTGCGCCACCACTCCCCAGCTAATTGGTTCTGGAGTTGTGCACACTCGCATCACCGGCACTTCCTGAAAGCAGATTGGCTCCTGGGTGTGAGCATACACAAGTCACAAGTCCTCATCCAAGTCATTTTAGTTTTACCACGACTTCCTCAGACCTTTGTACTCTTAAAGTTATAGCACTGTAATAAACTACCACAGAAGATAGTTCAAAACAAGACAATTATACATTCTGGGTGGCACGGTGGTACAGTGATCAAAGCTGTTAGCTCACAGCAAGAAGGTTCACCTTGCTGGGTGGAGTTTACATGTTCAGCCTATGCACACAGGGGTTTTCTCCATGTGCTCAGTTTCCCCTCAGGGTGTCCCCACATCTCCCACATTGACTGCTGGTGATAGGTACCTGCTCCATGCGGCCTTGCATGGAAAACTGGGTAAAGGAATTACAAAGTAAATGGTTGTCTGTTGATCATGAGCAGAGTTCCCAACATGCCTCCAGAGTTAGGATATTTTGGACCCGTGTCATGGTTAGGTGTGGTTTAGAAACCCAAAGTGCAGACAAAGACCCTGAACTTGAATGTTACGTTCCTCAGCTAGATTTATACGCTGCTCATATATGAAGCTGCGGCTATAAATAATTAGCGCGGCCTTCTTATTCTTATTCAGAATAATATTTTGCTTAGATGAGAAAAGGAAAGAAAACATGAGGAGAGACGGTATAAAAAAAAGATTTCTCACACCGTGTCCTAGACAGGGCACAATTTGAGGCATCAAAAAAACCTACCACAGCAAAGCAACATAAACAGATGTTATACATGAACATATAGGCGGTGAAGACATTGAATTTTTAAGGGAAAGTCGTAGCATAGTCCAGAGCCCCCCCTCAGCCATTGTCCAGATAAGAGGTGACGTTCATCTTCAGCTCAGTTGAGGTTCTGTTACATGTCCACAGCCTTGGGGAAGGGAGAGGTGAGGAAACAGTCAAAGCATCTTTGTTGTTTTCCAAACATTCCAGGAGGAGTTGAGATAAGTCCGGCATCAAGACCACAGTTTGGGTCAGGCAGAACTCGTGAATTGTTGTTTCTGCCTTTTTAAAGTCTTGCTGGTACATATTCTCTGATGGAACTCCAAAACAGCCGAATTGATCCTTTACTCCAAAAGTCGAGCTCACAGCTTCTCCAGATTATTCCCACCATTCATGAGTGCTGCCAGGGAGATCACAGTCCTCCAACTCCCTGTCACAGCTCCACGTTCAGTCCGAGCACTGTCAAGCTTCAACACCTCCACACAAATTTGTAGACAATCCAGATTTCACCAACCCAAACAGCAAAAACCAGTTGTCACCATGAATCCAATTGTTTCCGTCGAGGTAAGAGGGTCCTCCTTACCCTGACTCCTGTCGGGAGAAGTTGATCGATTTTGTTGAGAGACCAGCTGATCCTTCGAATTAAGAGGTATGCAGAAAAAAAAAGTCTTTTTAAGGGTTCACAGGACAAAAGAGTGCAGCAGGGAAGGGTGTGTGTGTGGGGGGGGGGGACACGTCTGGTTCCACCGGAGAATAGAAGGAAAAAAAAACCAAGTCCAACAGATTCTTAAAGCCAGTTAGTGGACATGAGCAGTAAGCCAAAGTGTTTAACATGTCTTGCTGTCCTCATACATGTCCTCTACCAGTCGAACATATTTCTCTGCAACTCCAATTTTCCACATTCAGAGTCAGATATTCTTTATTTGTCGTACACATCACATGTGGTACATGAGGTGGAACATAATTGTGTACACAGGGTCCCAGTTACATCCAACAAAAGTATAAAATGTAAAAGAAAAACAGTAATAAGATCTAAGATATGAACTAAGAAAATTGAACACCACAGCTCCTCCCTCGGCACCCTGTCTTTTTCTAAAGAAGCTTTGAGTTGCTTGGGGACTCGAGGCTCAGCTCCTCTACAGATGATCTACAGGGCTGGGGTCTGAAGACTAGTTAGGTCACTCCAGGACCCAATCTGCTTCTTCTTTAGCCACTGCACTGTAGGATGTTATGGATCACAGTCCTGCTGATATTCGGTGTTCTGACTGAGGACAGAAGATCCTGGTCTAGGATTTTACAGTACATGGTCCCATCCAATGTCCCCTCAATGCGATGAAAGTGTCCCCTTAGTAATAAAACAGCTCCAAATGATAAAGTTTTCAACTATTTACTGACTGTGGAGACGGTGTTCTTCAAATCATACTCGGCATCCATTTCCCTCCAAACACAAGGGTTCAAGTTGATGCCAAAAGAGATAGTTGGATGAAAGGTAGGGGAAGAGGTCCTTGTGTATATCATTCAATGATGTGCAAATCAACATGCATTTTTTATGTTATGAGTTTAATCTGGATATTGAGTTGACATTATTTTTTCTTTCCATTAACATAAAATGAACATACCTTAGAAAATAGTCAACAAGACTAGAAATTATTAAAATTATTGTTGAAATGAAACTGAATTGATTCTTTGTACTCCTCTCCAGGTTCATAAAGATACTTTATCCTTTGAGAAACCACTTCCTGATGACTCCACGGGCGGCTCATATCATCTCAAAGACCACCTGGGTTCTCCTCCTGGTTCCAATAACAGTGTATGTCATCCAGATGCTGATTACCCACAAACGTTTGGATTCAGCCCCTAACTCCTGTAATGTTCTGTCCAGTGAACAAATCAACACTTTCTACATTTTTATTCACATCACTGCCTGCATCATTTTCCTGTCAGTGCTCCTCTCCATGGTCTTCTTCTCCTACAGCGCCTCTCGTAGGGTGTTGGAGGCCCAGCAGAGACAACCGGCTGCCTCCAGCTCCAGGAAGCTTGTGAGGTCTCGCAGGAACATCATGGTGTTGGTCAGTGTCTTTTGTATTTGCTTCATCCCCTACCACCTGGTTCAAGTTCCATATATTTTTCTGCGGGAGCGTCACGTTGTGGTGCTGATCTACCTGAAGGAGATGTCCGTCTTCATGTCAGTAATTAATATCTGCCTGGACCCTCTTATTTACGTCTTTCTCTGCAAGAATATCCGAGCCCAATTGAATTTGAAGCAAATGTTCTCCACAAACGGCAAAAGAGACACTTCTACCTCAGAACGAAGACCAAGTGAATCAGCAGTGCAGCAACAACACCAGCTAACAGCTGCCAGCATGCAGGAAGTGAAAGTTGCAGCTTAATGTGGCCAGGAAAGACAAGTGTGAAAAAATACTGCAGACATGAACGGTGGCGACTGCGAGAAGTGAAGATTCAACGCAAACTTCTTCCTTAAATAGATAAGTTTACTAATGGGCTTTTTATGTACGTGAATGTTTCTGTTCAGTGCCTTGAGATGACTTCTGTTGTGACTTGGCGCTGTAGAAATAAACTGAAGTGAAGAAGGGAGAATTAAAACCCAGTCTTGATTGGATCTACAGCTCAGAGGTCACAACAATCACAGTTTGGAGAATTTTTTAGAGATTTTATCACAGATTGTTAAACTCAATGTGATTATGAGACGTGTTAATGTGACCTGACCTTAAACTAGTCTAAACATTTGAAAATATATTTATAAACACCTCTTACATGGATTGTTCTCTTCGGGTCGAGGGTGAGGTTCTGCCTCAAGTGAAGGAGTTCAAGTATCTCGGGGTTTTGTTCACAAGTGAGGGAAGAATGGAGCGAGAGATTGACAAACGGATTGGTGCAGCGTCTGCAGTATTGTGGACTCTGTGCCAGTCCGTTGTGGTGAAGAGGGAGCTGAGCTGTAAGACAAAGCTCTCTGTTTACCAGTCAGTCTACATCTCTACCCTCACCTATGGTCACAAACTCTGGTTAGTGACTGAAAGAATGAGATTTTAGATACAGAAGGTTGAAATGAGTTTCCTCTGCAGGGCAGCTGGACTCTCCCTTAGAGACAGAGTGAGAAGTTCAGTTATCAGGAGAGACTCGGAGTAGAACTGCTCCTCCACATCGAGAGGAGCCAGTTGAGGTGGCTCGGACATCTGGTAAGGATGCTCCTGGGGTGCCTCCCTAGGGAGGTGCTTTGGGCATGTCCAACTGGGCGGAGACCACAGGGAAGACCCAGGACACACTGGTTGGCCTGGGAATGCCTTGGGGTGCCCCCAGAAGAGCTGGAAGAGGTTGCTGTGGAACGAGATTTCTGGACCTCCCTGCTCAAGATGCTGCTCCATCAAACCGACTTGGGAATAAGCGGAACATGATGGATGGATGGACAGACAAACTTCTTGCATTCATTTTTTTATGGCTGCATCTAATTTTGGTACTTGACTAATCAGATTTGGTTTTTATTAGTCATTAATTCAATTATTTGTATTTTTGAATAATTATATTAATAGTTATATTGTTCATCTTAACAAGAAACCTGACTGGTCCATCCATCCATCCATCCATATATTATCTTTACCCGCTTATTCCATTTTGGGTCACGGGGGTCGCTTGGTGCCCATGTCCAGCAATCACTGTGCGAGGGGCGGGGTACACCCTGGACGGGTCTCCAGTCCATCACAGGGCCACATAGAGACAAACGAGACAAACAACCATTCACTCTCTCACTCACACCTAGGGACAATTTAGAGTTACCAATCAGTCTAACATGCATGTTTTTGGTCTGTGGGAGGAAACCGGAGCACCCGGAGAAAACCCACGCATGCACGGAGAGAACATGCAAACTCCACCCAGAAAGGCCCCTGGACCGGGGTTTGAACCA